GGCAGCATTTTTCATTGATGCATGTTTCATTAAATAATATAGACAAGATTTGTCCATTTATTTTATGTCAATTCTTTTCATATCGTCTGATAAGCTTAATAACATTATCATTAAACGAAGAAAGAAAATCACCACATTGATTCATATGTTTTTCTACTAAAAGATGTAACTACCCCGGACCATCTGGAGGAAATTACGCATAGACTCACGGAAATTGTCCGTGGATTGCTTAATATATTGTACAGTAATTGTCATCTTTGATAATGGCCTATGTGCGCCGAAAGCTTAGATTGGATTAAAGAAAATATGTATCAATATTGTGATTTTCTTTTGTCTTTTAATGATAATGTTATTAAAGTTTATCAGACGATATGAAAAGAATTTACATAAAATAAATAGACAACACTTTTCTATATTATTTAATGAAACATGCATCAATATATATATATATATATATATATATAGATAATATTAGTGGAAAATATACATACATATGAAAAATATATCTAAAAAATTCCCATACATGTATATTTTCAGAAAAAATTTTTCCAAGAGGAAGGATCCAGGTAGAACTCAATGTCTAGGACAGAGTAAGGATATAATAAAAAGGCTTAAACACTAATATTCCATGGTCATAATTTATTCCATTGGAATCGTAAATACGATCCAAATCATCAGACCTACAAATTCAAAATGAAAACAGAAAAAAACAACTCCGGAAATCAAAACAGAATTTAGAGAAAGTGTAAGTATGAGGAGGAAACATGAAACCTTAGAGAGAATTTTGGAGATGTGGGTGGGTGGATTTAAAAGAGGAGAGAAAAGAAAGTCGACGGATGTCTAATACATAAAGATACATTTCGTGGTGACATATACACACCACAGACAATTCGATAGGAAGGCAAAAAAAAAAAAAAAAAGGGTGGGGGAGAGAGATGGGACGAAGGAAAATAAAATTGTGTTTACTTAAAGGGGCCGCTTTGTAATTGGGAAAATTAGTATAGACTACAGGTTATAAAATGAAATATAAATATATGAAGATGAATATAATGATTGTCTCATTTCGCAAGGACCAAATATTTCTATGTTCAAAAACACATACTAATACACAAAAAAAACATATACAAGTAGGTACATACACTTAGGCATGTACTCACACACACACCCAGACATACGTGTACATACATACACATGCACACACATACACATATATATACACACATATATATATATATATATATATATATATATATATATATATACAAATATATATATATATAAAAACCTAAAAATATATTCACATATCCACACATACACATATTCATCTATATTCATATACACACATTGGAATTTAAAATTATGTCATAGTTATGATCATTTCACCTTACAAGTTAAGATTTACTTGCAAGGAATTTCAAACCGATCAAGGTAATAAGATAAAATAAAATACAAGGAAATCGTAACTTGTAAGGTGAAATAATCAAAACTATGAGGTAATTTTAGATTCCTTTTGTATGTAATTTATACGTTCGTTTAAAATAATACATTGAGCTATGTCTTCCTACTGCACTTGGATACAATGCATTCTCCTGTACTTGTTTTTGGTCTTTTGTGCAATTCATGAGCCGGTCTCAAAAGTCATGATAATTAGTTCATGGTCGTCGGAACCTCATATGTCGAACTCAATGGGAGAGTTCATTATATATATATATATATATATATATATATATATATATATATATATATATATATAATTATTTATTTAAAAATTTAACATCATCACTTGATAAGACACTGGGAGTCTTGAAACAAAATGACTATTTTTTGTAGTGATTTTATAACATGTTTATGTTATAAGTTTTTAAATAAATAATTATATCTGCTCTACTTTGTATTGAGCACTCTTTTAAGAATAGTTGGTTATTGGAATTCATTCCATATACACCAATTATATACTTATATATATATATATATATATATATATATATATATATATATATATATATATATATATCAGTGAACATTGAAGTCAACACTCAGAGCCGGCAGGCTGTTTCATGTTAGACACAATCGCCAGACCGCGAGTATTAGATTTTTCTCGACTGTTTATATATATGAGTTAGTATTGCATTGTGGGTAATCTATTCTGACAGATATTTTGGCGGGAGTGGCTTTGTTTATTTATTATTTTATTTGTTTTACTTATTTAATTTATTTTACACGTTTTTAATTTTTAATTTTATACATATATATATATATATATATATGTGTGTGTGTGTGTGTGTGTTAGTGATCTCCACGAAAAAATTCGATACTTAAGGTTTAAAATGATTTTTTTTTTAAATTAAAAATCTTTTTTGAAGTTTTTGTTTTAATTTTAATTTCAAGCTAATAGATTAAATTCAATATTTCCAATATATATGATTCGATCAATAAAAACATTATTTAATCTGAAGAAGTCCTTTTCAAGGCCGAAATGCGTTACATCGGATATTTACTTTTTTTTTTTCTCCACTGTTAGTCTGATATACAGAATTTATATATCAAATTGTCCCATTAGTGAAAATCTCTTGGAAATATGTCTGGCGAAAGAGGTCGATGTAGAAAAGCTTGCAACGGGGAGGTTGTGCAGCTTTTGAACGGTGAACCGTGAAATTCGAGGTCGGCCATGGAGCAGTATCGAACAGTTATTAGTCACTAGTCTAGGCTGCTTTTTTCTTAATTTTCCATGCATGCAGTCAATTTCATCAGTCAGTTGTTTTCGGATTTAATCTAACCGATTCATTCAATTGATCGTTTTTATGGCTGAATTAGGTCTTCTGCTTGGATCATTTTCCAGGCTCTCATCTTCTGAACGAACTTTTTTTGGAACCATTTCTATACAGTTCTGACATTAACAATTCTAGTTCGAAATTGTTTTGTTGTGTTTTTTTGTTTTTTTCTGGCAATGTGGGTGTATAATATGGAGGCACGGTAGTGTAATGGATAGCGACTCGGATTAAGGAATCGGAGAGCCGAGTTCGAATTCCAGTCGAATCCATTACATTCACTTAAGTGCTAATACCCTATTGCAACGTTTACACGGTGGAGTAATGGATAGCGACTCGGATTGAGGAATCGGAAAGCCGAGTGCGAATTCCAGTCGAATCCATTACACTCACTTTTGAACTGGCAGAGCGACTCGGATTGAGGAAATCGGAGAACCGAGTTCGAATTCCAGTCGAATCCATTACATTCACTTTTGAACTAGGAGAGCGGCTCGGATTGAGGAAATCGGAGAGCAGAGTTCGAATTCCAGTCAAATCCTTACGTGAATATACGCTTTTGGAATGTTTACATGAATTCGAAAGTGAATGTAATGGATTCGACTGGGATTCGAACTCGGCTCTCCGATTCCTCAATCTAGTTCAAAAGTGAATGTAATGTGTTCGACTGGGATTCGAACGCGGCTCTCCGATTACCTCAATCAAAAGCCGCTATCCATTACTCCAACGTGTAAACATCGTAAAATGCCTACTTATTACAGTTAGTTCATTTCTTTGATTTAACAGATCATTATTTTTAGGAAACTTAATAATACTCCTGGAAAAGGTATTAATCCTCTTCTTCTCCCCTCCAGCTATGGGTAAATAGCAGGACAGACTGGGTTTTATAGCCTTGGATGGCAACTAGTCTACCGTAGAAAGAAATGGCAATCTACTGTCGGAAAAAATCTGCCTCGTCAATCATGTATCGAATGATATATGATCGCCTAAGCGTGTATCACGCATGGCACATAACTGACTGATCATAGGAGAGACCGATTTTTTTTTCTGGAGAATATGAATAATATTTAATTGGAAACATCCCAAAAAAATAAAAAATAAAATGAGATTATTAAGAAGTAAGTGCTAAAATAAAGTTTTACGCCAATAAAGTTTAGTCAATTTTTTTATAAAAAGCCCTCAAATAAAAAAAATACGACATTTTCATATGGGACAACAAATTATTTTTGCTTAAAATCAACTTCGATAAATTTATAATCTTCAGCTAATAATAACGTTTCCTTAATGGTTTATTTTTCAGACTATTTCATAAAGCCCTAAGTAAACTTTTTTTTTTTTATGTCTACACGCTGTTAGTCTCCAAGATATTTTAAGGGGGTTGCAGAAAAAAATATTCTGTATCTGGATAAAAACTGACAGAATTTGGGGGCAAATATGGCAAACCAACCTCCATTGAAAATTGAAAAAAATGTTAAAAATAAAAAAAATCTATATTTACTTAAAATAAATTGTATTTTTGTCTACACCTTATTCTAGACGAGCAAACACGCACAGGCAGAATATTTTTTTATTTATAAAGAATATCCTATAAATATATATATATATATATATATATATAGCTAGATATAGATACATTCATTCGTACACACGAAAATAGTTGCAAATGAAATAAAAAATACATTTTAATCATAGGATAGCGAAGTTATCATGGTGTACTTTTATTTTCTAACAGTTTATATATCAAATTTGTATATTTAAGATATGATACCTGGTACAGGGTACGTTTATCATTTATCATCTCTCAGTTGCATCTCTGTCCTATCGCAGGGTGCCGCTTATTTGTGGTCCTGTCCGCGGACACAGACGCGACCGAGGAAAATAAATACTGCGAGGTGTCCTGTCCCGGGAAACAGCTACCGTAGTCTGCACCCCCATTGCACTAAAGAGGTGGGAGTAGTAGTCATACCGATGCAAGCGCAACCGACGTTTTCGAGGGCTGGGCATTTTTTGTCCTTGGCCCGGGTGTCCGCGCTCGGGCTCCCCACGTTAAACCCGATCTTGTGTCACATCGCATCTCAGTGAGAAGTCTGAAAATATCATACATCGCAAAATAATGTCATGCTTCTAAAATCTTTATAATCCGCCATATTTTTTCTTATTCCCCTTCTTTTTTTTTTCTCCATTTGCCAAATGTATTTAATTTTCCAGAAACAATAGGCCCTAAAAATAGGCAGCTTGCGGCCATATCATGTTGAAACACCTGTTCCCGTACGATCACTGGAGTTTAGCGACATCGAGCCTGGTTAGTACCTAGACGGGTGACAGCTCGGGAATACCAGGTGCTCTAATCTCGTACGTGCGGGCCGTGTACGGGATAACGGCTCCGGATAGGAAATCGAAAAGCCGAGTTCCAATTCCAGTCGGGTTCTTTATATTCACTTGCGCGCAAATAACCTTGGGAAACGCATGCATCCACCTCTTCTCCCCCCAGCTATGGGTTAATTTGTAGAAGTAATTATTATCATCTACTCAAGGTTCTTGAAATCTAAAAATATTTTCTGGCTTTAAATGACATGTAAAGGGTTGATATAAGCCACAAATAAAACCCCTGATCAATCCTAAAAATAGGTATCATTTACAGGTTAGAGTAGATTTTCCTTAATGGCGACCACTAAAGAAACAGGCAGTGCCAAACATTTATTAGGCATTGATCCATATGCTTCGGTTTTTTAGTGACACACTCGGCGGGGTTAGGAAAATAGCGTTAAAAATAGAGAGAGAGGGGGAAGGGAGAGAGAGAATGAAAGGGAAATATATATAGAGAGAGTCAATAGGGAGTTCGATTTTCCCTTGTGAGGTGAGCATTCGGCAAGCGGTGAGGCATTTAGCTATAGTGGTTAGCAAAGTCTCAAATTAGTTTTTAAACACAATTTCAAAGAAGTAACCCCCCCCCAAAAAAAACCCTCTATTCTCCTTCAAATAAGGATCTTTTGACTTCATTACTCTTGTTGCCTCGATCCAGCTCCGTTGTGAAGATACCACTGAGGCCATAAATAGTGAAGGTGTCCATCCAGGGCTCTTGTCACAACCTCCTTCATCTTCGAACAGGCTGAGTCTCTCCTTCAGCTTGGGAAGCAACCAAAAGTCACAAGTGAGCAAGGTCTAGACCGGGGTTCGGCAACTCATTCAACCCCGCGGGGCCGGATCGTGTTATAATGACGGGTCCGCGGGCCGGACGAAAGCCATTAATGAATAAAATTAAGGAAAATTACATATGCAGACCCCCTGCCAACCTAAATATTTAAAACCATAATGAAAATAAACATTGAGAAATCAGAAAAAAAAAACAAAAGAAAATCTAAAATTAAAAAAAAACACCAAACAAAAATTAAAAAAATCAACCGAAGTGAAATTATGGATGAAATTATGACGTGTAGATTTGAAACTGTTATTGAAAATTGTTCCACAAACGAACCACACACACACACACACACACACACACACACACGCACACACACACACTCACACACACACACACATCAAACAAAAACGAAGCACATATACCCATACATACGAGTACAAATAGTTGCAAACATATACACTTACATACGTACACATGCGGTATCATCCACACATTCATGAGGCATGTATGTATAATGCGCATATGTTTAACTGTCTTTAGATTTCTGCTACCTCGCATGTCAGTCCCTCCCTGTCCTTTTTCACTTTATCGTTCCTTTCGCTTCTGTTATCTTTTAATGTAGCCAAGGGTCATAACAAATATGTATCCATTATTTGACATTAAACGTAGGCAACACAACTTGGTAAAATAAGTCTCATGAAAGATAACGGGCAGATAGTCTAATTCGAAAGCCTCGTCTCTCATGTTAAAAATAGAGTCATTGGTAATCAGGCTCGCGGGCCGGTCAAAATGCCTTCGCGGGCCGTAGGTTGCCGACCCTTGGTCTAGACCGTCGGTAGGATGAGAGACAGTTTTCATGCCTATCACTATTAACATAAAACATACGATGAAAGTGAATTTATACCTTTTTTTTTGCTCTTGAGAATTTACAGCAAATATATTAAACATGATTTATTTATTAAATTTGCAAGAATAATTATATATTCACAACGTTCTAAAAACTAATACAATTAATACTAATGCAATGCAATATTCATCATTTACCAATTTTATAACGAAATAAATATGAAAACAATTTTTTATTCATACATATATAATCATTTAATTTTATTTTATTTACCATTTTATGAAGTTCGAATCAATTGGCAATTAGCCGATGTTTTACGAATCAGTCTAAGCAATACAGTAAGTGTAAATAAAATGTCTAATAAATTATGTCCTATTCTCAAGAACAAAAAAAATAATAATCACTTTCATCTGTTTAGGTTTTATTACAATTCTAATCATCGGTTTTTAAAACTGTTGTGGATTCCGGGAATGGAATCCTGCACAAATAAATAAAAAACGCCAGAAATGGAGATAGAAAAATAAGTGTATTAACGTAAGAATACAGACTTGAAGTGAAAATTAGTAGTCCAGGAATGCGGGTTAGTAGAAAGTATATGTACAAGTCTCTGTAAGTAAAGACGTAATCATCTTTCTCTCTCTGGACTCTTGTATAACTCTCTGAGAACACCCTGTGTCTGTCTCCGTATCTCTCAACCTATCTCAACGGCAGGTATTCTCTCTGTCAGTATAAGTATACGTTGGACGAGTCCATCTTATGTAACAAGGGGAGAGCCCCACAACAAAAGCAATAAATATTGCATAGCTAGCTTCCAAATTGTCCTCACATACCGATTGCGTTCTAGTCAGTTGTGACAAGCAGTGTTTCGTAGAGTATGTTCAAAAGAGCTATAACGGCCATCTCCTTCAATCTGGAATAACAAAAGCAGGCAGGTCAGCTTATGAAATACGTAACAATAATGATATAGAAAAACTACGATAGTCACGGATAGTTATAACTGCGTCTCCTAAACCATTCTCAAAACACCTGGAATGCACCTCGTATGCAAATATAAAGGTAGACACCGTGGTCAACAAGTGGCAAAAGACTGTTTTATACTTGAACACAATCTTCGGCCCTTCATAGCCTGAAGATTGCGTCTAAGCATGAAACAGTCGCCACTTGGCGCTGACCTGAGTGTCCCATTTTATATTTACGCATGTTCTATCCCTGATATTGAGCAGTTTTATACATAAATAGAGCATATCTTAAAGCTATATTTTTATCATTATATATATATATATATATATATATATATATATATATATGTGTGTGTGTGTGTGTGTGAAAATATATAGAAAATAGGAAAGAACTCGTTAGGCAAATAATCCAAAGTTCTTTAGTATTTTTCTTATTATTTTTAAAAAACAGTGCTCGATAAAAAGTAGAGTTTATATATATATATATATATATATATATATGGTTGGATAGATGTGAGTTTGTGACACGCTTTTAGCGATCGTCAGATAAGTACTGCGCATATAATATATAAATAATTATACATATATATATTTATTTATATTTACATACACTTTTCACACACACACACACACACACACATATATATATATATATATATATATATATATATATATACTCGCAGATTCAATTCTGATAGGATTATTAAACCTAAGGCCTGATGATCAGTTAAAACGTAAAGTAGCCACTCGCCATGCAGTGCTGATTTCTGTATCAGTGTTTATATAAAAAAAAGATGCATTATTCCTGATGCTAAACACTTTTCGCCACATAAATATGACAAATTTTAAACAATATATATATATATATATATATATATATATATATATATATATATATATATATATTATTTTAAGTGTTGGTATTTATCTGAGAAAAGTGGTCAATATTAGAAATAAAGCATTTGTTGATAAACAGTGTGGACATAAAAATCAACACAGCATTGTGACTGTAATTTTCACGCGTAAATTGATCTTCAGGCCGTCTTATATATGTCCACTCTCTCTCTCTCTCTCTATATATATATATATATATATATGATAACATAGTTTTAAGGTAAGCTATGTCCTGACGATTACGTATAACCATGAAAAAAAAGACTGTCACCGCTGGGTATTGACTTCAATGTCCACTTTTATATATATATATATATATATATATATATATATATATATATATATATATATATAAAAAAATAGTAATACGTATCATGTGATCACACAGAAAATATTTAAAAGCCACTACACCGAAAACATAAAAAAGGTACTCTGTTGCCAATCTTGACAACGCGGCTTTAATAGCGTTAAATATATTATTAATTTATTGGGCACCTATTGTAGAACTGATGTTCCTGCAGTAATCAACGAAATGTGTCGATTTTAACGTTTCATATGATATGAACTGTATGAAGTAATTTCCCGAGTTTCTCATTAAGCCCCCGTTAGTATCGAGGCGTGTTTGAACACACATCAAAATGTCTGCCTTTTATATTTGGCAAATTTTCGCGATTAACGAGCTTAAATATCTTAAATTTAAGAGGATTTTCTGGTTTTAGTCATAATGTTAGTATAAATTAATTTGTTTTCTGAAAAAAAAAAAAAAAGAAAAGCGATTGAACCTATTTTTACATATCTGAAATTTTAAAAGTTACAATTTAAATTTTTATTATTAAATTTTCATTTAGATTTTTAAAAAATAAACCCTTTTTTTTTCCTTTCGTTTTTATTTAACCTATAAGATCTAGGAATAAGATTAAAAATTTTACAAGCAAATTAAAAACGAGATGATATATCTATATTAATTTAAATCTGAAAACCCTATAATACCCCACAGCACTGACGGAGGCTTGATGAAACAACTAGACGGTTTTAGCTAAACGAACATGGCCATTTTAGTAAATTTAGAATAATAACGCTAGGCTGAGTTTTTATTAGGGGAGGGCCAAAGACCACACCACTTGAGAGCTTTGCTTACGATATCAGTTGACCTTAATCCCGACCCACGATCTCAAATCTGAAAACAGCTCTCATACATAGCTGTATATAATTCTAGGTATATAAACACGCACACACAGACATACACTCACACATGCGCATGCGCACAAACACATGGCGAAATAAATCAATAAACGTATATTTTCCTACACATAGACAGATAGATAAACACTCCCACCCATATACTGGTGTACCTAAAATTCAGATTGCTATTTTTGACATATTTTTCCACACGTTAAAAAGCGAATGAAAATTCAGGGGCTTTCTTCCACCGCCCAAAACCCAAATATTTCACCCGAACTCAATATTTTCTCGGCTGATGGAATGAAAAATAAAAATGGTGGT